CCAGCCCCCACTCCCCCGCCCTTAGTATTTACCAGCTTGGAGTCAGCTGCAGCTCCCTGCTGCAGCCATCGGGGACTGCCCCAATCATCAAAGCTATCCAAATCTTTTCTGAAGATTCGGAGAGCTTTGAATTGATTTGGACCTTTAAATTGGTCCCCTGATTCAATTTGGATTCTGAGATTTGGCCACCAAATTGGGCCGAATCTCCTCCGAAATCGCCACCCAAAGCTTTGCACAGCCGTACCTGGAAGGTCTCACCCCACTCTGTCTGCTCCCTAGGGCATGAGATGCTCCCTGCAGAGAAGCACACAGAAGAAACACTGCCAGTTCAATCTTGAAGAGCCTATTTCCTCAATTTTCCACACATTCCTTGGCAGGCAGGGTTCTTTGAGTAAATGTGATATCTTTCAGCTTCTCTCATTCTTGGAGTCTCAGACCAGCAGAGACTCCCTATGCCTGAAGAAGGGTGACTGCACCCAAAAGCCTGCTAAGAACTTTTTTCCAACTACTCAGTTGGTCTAACAAAATATATCACATCTAACCAAAGAACCTTGCCTGCCTACGTCCTTAGACCAACATGGCTACAGCCAAAAACCTTACACCTCTTTGCTATTTCTGCTGGGGGTAAGAGATTCATAGATTCTAGGGTCAGAAGGGACTTCAATAGATCATCGAGTCCAACCCCCTGCATAGGCAGGAAAAAGAGTGCTGGGTCTAGATGACCCCAGCTAGATGCCTATCTAACCTCCTCTTGAAGACCCCCAGGGTAGGGGAGAGCACCACCTCCCTTGGGAGCCCATTCCAGACCTTGGCCACTCTAACTGTGAAGAAGTTCTTCCTAATGTCCAGTCTAAATCTGCTCTCTGCTAGCTTGTGGCCATTATTTCTTGTAACCCCCGGGGGCACCTTGGTGAGTAAAGCCTCACCAATTCCCTTCTGTGCCCCCGTGATGAACTTATAGGCAGCCACAAGGCCGCCTCTCAACCTTCTCTTGCAGAGGCTGAAGAGGTCCAGGTGCCCCAGTCTCTCCTCATAGGGCTTGGCCTGCAAGCCCTTAACCATACGAGTGGCCCTTCTCTGGACCCTCTCCAGGTTATCCGCATCCCTCTTGAAGTGTGGCGCCCAAAACTGAACACAGTACTCCAACTGTGGTCTGACCAGCGCCCGATAGAGGGGAAGTATCACCTCCTTGGATCTGTTTGTCATGCATCTGCTGATGCACGATAAAGTGCCATTAACTTTTCTGATGGCTTCGTCACACTGACCACTCGTTCATCTTGGAGTCCACTAGGACTCCAAGATCCCTTTCCACTTCCATGCCACCCAGCAGGTCATTCCCTAGGCAGTAGGTATGCTGGACATTTTTCCTCCCTAGGTGCAGCACTTTGCATTTCTCCTTGTTGAACTGCATTCTGTTGTTTTCTGCCCATATGTCCAACCTGTCCAGGTCTGCTTGTAGTTGTTCCCTGCCCTCCGGCATGTCTACTTCTCCCCACATTTTTGTGTCATCCGCAAACTTGGACAGAGTACACTTCACTCCCTCGTCCAGAGAGTTTTGCCTTAAGTATAAAGTATACAGCTGTAAGCACTGATTCAGTTGGCATTGGATATATGTCCTCAGCCTTTCTTCCTGGGAAAAAAATGGGAGGAGAAAAGACCAACAATCACATCGAATTTCATGTAAATACTTTAATTACATCCGAATGCTTAAAACATAGAAACACTTGAGTTCAATTACATCTTAATGCTTTTACTAAATGCTATGTATACTTTCAAGTACTGGGTAAGGAGGTGGAATTACACTAAAAGAATACTAGAGTAGAAATCCAGCAAATACTAGTAATATTCTTTTAGCCTCATAGTTGCATTTCATTGATGTAAGGGCTTCCTGCAGAGGGCAGAGCCTGTGTATACCAGAGAAATGTCTGAATGGCATTTCCACCTTAAGCTTCTTAAATACATATTATTAATATGTACCTTAGTAATATCACAGGACAGACAACAGGTGTGTTGTATACCAGATGAATGGCAGGCAGGTGCTTTGTTTGGCCTAGAGCAGGGACATCAAACAAATAGCCCACAGGCCGGATTTGGCCTGCAAAGCCCCACCATCCATCCCCTGCAGTGCTGCCCTTGGGTCTGATCAGACCCACACATGGTGTGGGGCCAGTCTGCAGGCTAGGTTCAGCACACAACTCTCTCCCGCTCCCCCAGCATACTTGTTCCAATAGTGGCTTCAGTCAGTCTGGGATCCACTCTGTGTGCCCCATAGATCCCAGAGTGGCTGGAACAGGTACTGCATGCTGTGCAGTATGGCCAAAGCAGCAGCTGCACTGCGTATGGTGGCTGGCCCACCTGGACTATGCTGTATGTGGTGCCCACTCTGTGACACATGCCACATACGACACCTGCTCCAGCCAGTCCAGGACCTATGATGCACCCAGTACTTTCAGACACCATGCAACATGAATCCTGGACTGGATCTGCATGTGGCACAGTATTAAAGCCACTGGAGTGGGTACCACAAGCGGTGCAGTTTAGCCAGGGTTGTTATGTGTGCTGTCAGTGCAAGTCCCAGACCAGATGGAGCAGCCACCAGATCAGGTATGTTCCTGAGGGGGAGGGGGCTGGAGAAGGGGTCTGTGGGCCCCATCTGGTCCATGGCCCAGCCCTGCACCACTCCTCTGGCCGGCAGGGCCAGATGAGGTTGACACCCCTGGCCTAGGGCCTGCAATTGCCTAAGCATGGCAAGGATTTGGGTTCTGAGCATCTCAGTGTGCTGCTGTTAATAGGAAGTGCTCTTTGTTGCCTTTTTCCATAGTTAGTCATTTAAAATTCCATGTTTTTGATAATCATTCTTTCAAAATTGATAGTTTTTTGCCCAATCACTCCAATTTTATTTAGTTTTATTTTGTTTTTTTTAACTGCAGAATATTGTAGTCCTAAAAGCATCAAAGCCTCCTTGCAGCTGCAGCTGAAGTCTACCTGGGAGGACTCTGGTGCAGCTGCTGGCTACTACTCCTGACCTGACTGAAAATGATATTAGAGCTCTGGTGGCTGCATTCTGTGATGTATCTGGCTCAGCTCCTCAAGTGATATAACTTGGAGTAGATTTTTTGAAGCCACGTTCACACTCTCCATTGAGACCAGTGGAGCTAGGCCAGGTTACACCAGCTGATGCTCTACCCATTGTTTTCACACCCCCACCCCCAAGTCATCAGCAATCCCTTATTAGTGTTCCCACTCCAAGTAGCCTAGCGCTGAGGTGCTGGGTTGCCTTCTCATGATTCCAGTTGTGTTGTCTTGCTGTATAGTGAGGCCCTTTTCCAAGAGCAGTCAAAGACCCCCAGGTTCAAACAGGATCCTCAAGTCCTCAAGCTTTTAACGGTAAAGGGAAAATTGGGGAGGGAGGGGGAAAGGTCTGATCCCACAATGCCTCAATGAGGTGAGCAATGCTGGTAAGGATAGGTGAGATGTTTCTATAAGGACTTCTCACAAGAGAGCACTATAGAAGTAGGCAGATAAGCAGGTCTTAGCACTTAAAAAAGGGGGCAAAATACAAACATAATTTGAGGGGTGTAAACTGGCTGGCAGACTCCAACTTGTGCAGTTATGTTGAGTACCTGAATTGTTAGACCCTTTTCCAGCCCATGTCTCCCTGCCCAATGATCCTTTTTAGGAACACATTCAAATTGTGGCTGCCACTGGAAAAAGTGAGCTTCTTACTCTGAGCCCTGGAGCAGGTTCTCTCCCTAGCCGAGCTCATGGATAAAATCCAGGTCTGGCTGACAAATGCATGCATGCCAGAAAACCCAGAAGAGGATCAGTACCTGGACAGTGCTGATGCATCTATGCAGGCACTGCATGCATCAGTGGGACAGTTGGATTTGGTGCATATACCCAGAGTAACCCAAAGGAACACACTCATTTGGAAATTTCAGTCTACCTCTTCCATGAATATATAAAATGGGACTTTTACCCAGCAGGTGGAAGGAGGCCACAGAGGTCAGCATATGATGAATAGGTAGATGTACGCTTATTTTCTAGGTTTCCTCAGAGTCCCACTGCAATTTCATAGCTGGGAAGATGGGGTGATTGCCGTAAGATTTGGACATCTTGGAGAATATGGGTAAAGGGTTAATTAGCCAGGATACAGTACAGTGTGGCTCATGCTGCCTCCAGTACCTAAACTAACTCATTTAGAGCTAGCTGGGGTTTCTTTGCACAGCCCTATCTTGTGCCAAATAGCCATGCTTCAGAGATATGGTATTCCTCTACACAGACCTCTGTAAAACTATTGCAACACCATACATGGCCTGCCACTCACTGCTGGCATTCCCCTACTGGCTGCTTGTCTAACTGCACTTCCTCTTGGTGACTGCCAGAAGGCTTTGCGTATGAGATCACCCAGTCTGTACTACCCAAAGCTAAGGTGGCTAAAGCAGCATAGCTGTACCATGATCCATGACAGCCCATAGGTTCCATGTTTGGCATTCTTCCCTTCTGGTATCAGTTGAAGGCACTGCAGCAGGAGAGGTGCTTCAGCATTAAAGGTGAACTGAAAGACTGTTTTGCCCACCAAGACCCAAGTCTAAACTTGCACTTCTGCATCCGTGGATGCAGTGCCATTTCTTAAAGAGGAGTAGTCTGCTGGACACATGGCAGAGAGTCGCCTGCTTCAGTACCAGAAGCACAGAACCTTAAATGCAGCTTCTGGTGGGTACATAAATAATGCTTAGATTTCCAGTAACTACTGATGGAGGTGTATTGATGTTTAATTTTAAGCCTATGTACCTATATTTCTCCTCAAAAAAGGATTCTGTTCCCCCATCAAGACTTGGCTTTGATGGGGCTTTTCTCAGCCAAAGTAGAGGAGTGGATGGGATAATATCAGCATCCATGTTAATCATTCAGGCACTGTGGTGTTTCAGCATCAACACAAGCTTAGCAGGGAAGGCTGGTGCCCAGGGCACTTGCAATGCACAGGGCAGCACTCAGGCTGCTGCAGTGCAGATTGCAGTGGTGCATTCAGCTGCCACTTCTGTGGTCGTTATATTTGTGCCTGTCCACAAATGTGAAGCCTGCAGCAGCTGACCTAGTGCCCCTTCCCCGCAACTGCCCTATGGTGTATCAATCACTGTCTCAGCAACAGGTGGTTTTGCAGGCTGATATAAGAGCTCTTGGCCTCTAGAAGCTGAATGGGTCCCCCTGCACCCTTGCTGCATCACTGATTTAGGACATTGATTAAATGTCAAAAGAGAAAATGGTTCAATCAGTTATTTTTCCAAAGCCCTCAGTTCACCTTTATAGCCAGTAATGCCCAGGCTGAAAGTCTTTGACACCACCCTCTGTATATGTTTATGAATAACCCACCTGGCACAAGGGTGGTGCTAAAAGCAAGGGGGATAATATTCACCCCTGGAGATAGTATTGCATGCTCATGGATGCTGTCTAGCAGGCTGCCCTAGCTTCCAGCTCAAGGGGACTTTGCCTTCCCTCAAGCGTCTGTGAAAGCTGCTGCCTCTGCAGGCCACTGGTGGGGAGATGCTAGTGTCATACTGCAGGACTCTTCCGGGGATGTTATGGCACAAAGCCAATGGGAGAACCCTTCTGAACATATACACCCCTCCCCACTGCCCCTGTATTCATTTCAAATTCATTTGTTCAGAGACCAATCCATCTCTGAACGTTTGCATTTCCATTAGCACACAACTTAGAGAGTGCCTACTGCCATCACCCCTGAAATCTGGGCATGGCAGTTCAGGACTTTCAAGGGGCAACGGATGCATCAACAACTGCTGCAGCCACCACCAAGTACTTGCTTCCTGAAGTGGGTTCAGTGCCCTGCACTTTCTCCCCAGGTGCAACACAAGCCAATAGGGCAATCAGCTGGGCTCAGTGATGTCACCCATACTTGTAGTAAGTTCTTAATTGGTTGGTTCTTTGGCTATATCCTGTCCAATCTCAGCACAATTCCAAAGCAGGGGCCGTTATTGTTCATGCATTGATGGCGTTAGCAACATCTGTAAACACAAGACGGCTGGGTCTCTGGAGGGCTCCTTGGTTTGTCAGAAGAATCTGCAAGGAAGCAGAGAAAGGTGGGATATGCTGCAAGGTATCATACATGGATTCATCCCCTTACAAGGGTCGTGCCAGGAGGGTCAAACATAAGGCCTGTGGGCTGCATCTGGCCCACAGAGCCATACCATCTGGGCCACCAGTGCTGCCCCAGTGTTTGATCAGAACCACAAGGGGCTCAGTGCATGCCAGTGGCGTGGGGCCAGTTGCCTTCTTTTCCCTTCCCTCCCTTCCACTTCCTTCCTTCCACTTCCCCATTCCTCTCCCCCAGCATTCCTGAACCAATGGCATGTCTGGGAGCATGGCTTGGAACATGGATCCCGGAGTGGCTAGAATGGGCATCGTGTATGATGGTCTGACCAGAACAACAGCCACACTTCACATAGTGGACACTGTATCAGACATGGCACCCACTCTGGGACACATGCTGCATATGGTTCCCACTCTAGCTGGTCTGGGACCCACACGGCACACAGTGCTTGTAGGTGCAGTGTGCAGTACAGGTCCCAGACTGGCTAGAGTAGGTACCATACGTGGCACAGTCCCAGAGGTGCTGGGGTGGGTACCACATGCAATGCAGTCCAGGTGGGGTGGCCACTACGCTGCATGCGGTGCATGTTCCAGCTGCTCCAGGATCTTCCTGCCACACAGCATGGGTCTTAGACTGGATGGAGCAGTCACCAGATCAGGTATGCTGTGGGAGAGGGAGAAACAGGAGGAAGAAGAGGAGGAGAGGGGGCCTGTGGACTGATCGGGCCTGTGGAGAGGGCCTGTGCTAATCATTCAGCCTGCAAGGCCAGACAAGTTTGACATCCCTGGGTTATGCTGATTAATGTGGTTAATGAGTGTGACACTGTAACAGGGGACAAGCTCAGGGCCAGATCTCTTGCCCATAGAAATAGGTGAGAAGGGTTGGCATGCTGCCCAGACTCGTCTGCCACGATTTTGTTGTTTTCATAAACTGTTGTTATAATGCAGAAGACTGCCTATTACTGCCCCGATACCATGGGTGGTATCTGTGGCTCCGTCCCTCCCCTACACTGCAGCCCAAGCCTTTTAGATGCCATCCACATGTAACTATATCCCAGCCCCTAACTCCGGCATCTCTCATTGGGCTCCATGTCCCTCACTCATACTGGGCTCCTTGCCCCCCCCCACACAGTTGGGGCTCCTAGCCTCTGGGCTCCTTACCTTTCAGTAGGCTCCACTCCCCTTGCCAAACTCTGGGCTCCTTGCCCCTCATTTGCTCTGGGCACCTTGCCCCACTCCGGACCCACTTTGGTCCTGCTGACCTCCTTGCCAGGCTACCCACTAGGATGTGGGGAATCAGGTTAAGGCACCCCTACCCGCCTTTCACCGGGGTCATAAGTCTTGGCATTTCCTAGGGTCTCCCATACCACTAGGAGCTCCACCAGGCCATCCACTCCCAGCAGGGTGCAATTTTAGGTCATGCCAAGGACCAGGAGCTTCTAAACCATTCCCATTAGTTCCTGCCCTTACCTCCAAGGTTGTTTCTGCTGCAGCCCAGCTAGGCAATATTTCTGCCTGGGCTGGTAGCAACAGACTGCAGCCTTTATATACTAGGTACTAAAAATGGCTGCCGCCATTAAGCACCTGCTAGATGCCTGACCCAGTCCTTAAATTGGCAGGCACCAACAGTGTCCTGCCACAGACACAAATATATATTTAGCCAGATATTGAAGTCACAGGAGCCATACCCATCTACATTACTGGAGAACTTGGACCCTTGGGTCTAGCTCAGGGTTTGGGGAGCCCGAATGACCCAGCTTGGGTCTAAGGAGTGCGTGTACTAGGACCTGGCCACCTCCGCTGTTTCTCCCTGTGTGAGGCTGTGGCACAATTTAGTGCCTCCCTCCCCCACAAGTCCAGGCACCCAGCTGCAGTGCAGAATAGGTAGAGCCCTGCTCCCCCATCCATCCTGAGGCTGAATGTTACCAAAGCCACAGCTCTGCAGGCTGTATCCAAAGGCTTCACAGACCAGAGTCAGCCCATGGGCCATACTTTGCTGACCCCCGATGTAGCTTATCCAGGCCCACATGGATTAGCAACGTGTAAAGCTTTCTATCTCCTGTACCCTTTATGAGTCTTATTGCCTCACTTTATCGACCCTTTATGTAGAAGTTCATATGTACAGGACTGTCGCTTAAATGTTGCAAAACTAGAAGACTCCTCCCTCAGTGGTCCCATGGAATCAACTATGTGCAAAACTGCCTTCCATGTTGGATTGATTCCCTTGTTATTTTAAACAGTTAAAATAGCCATTTTCATTTCAGTGGTAGCTGTGGGGCATGAGACTCCATGGGGATCCAGGGAGTCCTACTAAATAGCAGGGATGCACTGTTCTGGGGCTGGATGGTCTGTGGTGATCTTCTCCATGTGTTACTTAGATGAGTCATTTTTATTTATCTTGGGTGCATCTATACAAGATGTTTACTGCAGTTGACCAATTAGCTCCACAGTAAACATTTCAATGTCTACACATATGCCCTTACTAGGCCACAGGAAACTAATAAACTCTGCAGCAGGGTAGTACTATAAGTACTATCATGCTGTGGAGTTTTTTTTGTTTTGTGTGCAGCAGCGCACATGTAGACACTGATGTCGCTGGCTGGGGCATGAGGGCTTCAGTGCAGGGGCTGCTTGCTGGTTAGCCCCATGCTGGAGCACCCGTCTGCAGCACATTGTGTTGGGTGGTAGCAGCCCTGGGCTGGCAGGCTCACTCCTTGGGTCCCCTGCCAGCTGGGGCTGCTCTGACCTGGCTCAATGTGCTGCAGTCCTGGGCACATGTTCAAATGGTATGCCTGGGAGCAATAAATGCCAATGCAATAGATGCCATTATTTGTTTCAAATTAATTGCATGTGTAGATGCACCCCTTATGCATAATCCATGCATTTAATGTTTGTCCCTACACACACTACATGTAGTCAGGACTTCTCCTTTACATATTACTCCTCTGATTCATGATAATCAAAATATTCAGTACTCAATCCTCTATGACTAAAAATCAACCCCAGCACATGTGCTCATGTGCACACAAGCACATACCCACCCACAAACTGTACTACAACAAAAAGTAAGTTATGCAAGAGTCTGAAGTCATCTAAAATGAACACAAGTCTTCTTTGCCTTACCCTCCATCCCCTTGTAGCTCCCAAGTTGAGCCAGGTCTGAACAGACACCCCATGTTTTGGGAGAAGTGAGTTGGTATCTGAAGCAAGACTTTGGGCCAATTCTCATCATTGGCCTTTACTCATTCATTGGTGCCACCAAAACCCTGCATCTAAAGTCCCCATGAACTGAATCAAGTTTTATAGTTCATCTCTGTCTCTACCCTAGGTTTATCCCTGTTAATTCTTGAAGAAGGATTTACCATGGCAACTCTCTGAAGGAGAAGAAAGAGCAGCAAACACCACTACTGTTTACTTGACAGCTCTAGGGTTTCCCACCTGCACATACTACAGTTTACTGCTACATCTCACAGTTGTGCTTCAATGGGTGAAGGGAGAAAGTTGCCTTGAGGAAAAGCCTTTGGCATTACAGCTTGTTTGTATTTCCTGTTTCTTCCAAATCTGTTACAGATGAGTTAAAAATATTAAGTGAAATGTATGCGCATGAAAACTGACAGGGCTACAAGGTAACTCCCTGCCCCCAAGGAAAAGGTCCACAGCGAAGAGCTCCAGAGGTTGCATGGAGCACTTGAGGAAGATCTAAGAAAGTGGCAATGTCTGCTCTACAAAGGAGCTGCAGTCACCTTGTTGGCTTGGAGACATACCTGTTCTGGCTGTCCCTGCAGGCTCTGCATTTTAGAAGGACTCTTGTTTCCATAAAGAAAACAGAAATTGCTGTGAAACTTGCCAAAGACCATAAAAGGAAGCCCCCTTCCCACTCCTCCCACCTCCTGGTGCACTTGGCAGACTGGCATGGAGCTCTCTGAAGGCTGCTAGGACTATACCAGCAGAAACAGAACACAACTGACAGAGATCCACTTGGGTCTAAGCACTTTACTAACTAGTTAGTGGCCTCTACGGGCATGTGGATTTGTCAGTGTGATTGCATATCACAGCCACTCAGAGCTTCATGGCAGCCAGGACGGTACAACTCATGTCTTGTGGGTACAAATCCACAAACCCTTCTCACTTGAGCAAGAGATGAAACTCACTTCCCTTTCTTCTGCCTAGACCACGGTGGCCCCTGTACTCAGCTGGTCTCGAGACATGAACCCTGGCTAGCCAAGTTCAGACACAAGTTATCAAATTTCTTCAATTCAAGCTTAGATCTTGTGCCCTTTGGAGCTAGTGCCAAGAAAAAACAGCTATGGTAATAAATACATTGAAGACTGCTCCTTCCACAACAAGGCCTGTGCTGAGATATGCTTGTACCACAGCTGACTTGTGGACAAAGAATGGGGTTAGGTTCCTTACGTGTAGTTTATAAATAGTTAGGTCCTTTGATGTGAGCCAGATGTGCCACCCCCATGCATTTGGGGATCTCTGTCTGTCAACTCCCCCATCCAAGGCCAACTCTATCCAATACCCTCCTCAGACCTTTTGGCATCTCCAGAAATGAGCTATAGGAAACCTATCCCTAACTGCTGAAACCTCCCAACCTCCTAGCAGACAAGATTCTGCTAGGATAATTTTCTCCCACAGCTACCCAGTAATGACAGGCACTTGCCCCATTTACCCTCCAAGCTGCTCACAGCTCCCAACTTCAAGGGAGCCACATGGGTTAGAGAAGCCCACCTAAGCCCCTGCATGGCCTGATCAACACACAGCCTCACAGAAAGGGCATTATCCTACAGTAAATACAATGCATGTGCCAGTCACGAGAACAGAACCACCACTCATCGCTGCACAGACTGGAGAAGAGAAGAGCCACATGACTAGACAATGTACAATGTCTTCTGTAGACAATGCCTGCCTTGCTCTGTGAGGCCTGCAAAGATGCAGCATCTCGCCCGTGCTCCAGTAGCTCTTGCTCCAGCTCATCCTGTTCTTCCGTGGGGTCAAAGTTGTACATGGGCATGAGTTGGTGCCGCAGCTTCTCTAACCTGCCAGAGGAAGAAGGGCAAAGGGTTATATGAAAATCAGCTGCTAAAGGGGAGAAAGAGATGGAAACCCCAGCCCAGCCTAGGTGAGCCTCTCCCCATTCCACCCTTCTGCTGAGCAGCTGTGTGCAGGCTGGGTGTCCACAGCTGCATGTGAACCCAAGGGGAGCTTTTGTTCAGTACCATCTCATGCTGCTATGAAGCAAAGCGATTCTGCTATAACTACAACTCACTGGGAGCGTAAGAATCTACTCCTGCTATTATTAGCTAACAGTTGCTTTGCAAGCTGAAGCAGAAAATGCCTATTCTGAAGTCTCAATGTTCAATAACCATTAATATCTGGTGGGGATAGCTGTTATATATGTGGCAGTGGCCTCTATAGGGAATTGATACAGGAAAGGCTTCACTTGGGAAGGTGCAGCTGGGAGTGGGGCATCACACATTGGCTAAGCATGTTGTCCCTCCTGCTGGACGAATTACACTTCAGCTCAAGTGGGCAAGGGCTGTACTTCAGGTCTGGATTCAGTCTTTGCAGAGAGGACCTGGGGAGTATCAGATGGATCTAAAGAGACTTTGTTGCTCTTTGTGGTATCCTTTGCTCCCAGGCTATCTTAAGCTGTGTTGCTGGATATCGCCACAAAGGGTTGCCCTACATCCTGGCCTGGATCACATAGCAATGGAAGTGACTGCTATCCTCAGACATGCATGTGTGCTTGTGCTGGAGTCCCTGCCTGTGATGGTGGCTGCAGTTTATGAGTGTGACTGTGCTGGGTGGAATGGATTCCAGAGCTGTTCCTGGCAGAGCAACCGCAAATATCCCTCTTGGCAAACACTCGGATGACACATTTTCAGCACACCCTCCTCCTGCTTCCAAATGGGCTTTGCCAACTAAGTTATCAACTCTGGCAATTTTATGTTTACAGGCCAAATGCTTCAGCCTCTAAATTTTAGATTTAGAGACCAGCTTGGAAATTTCACAGTTGGCAGAAGTATATCAGGCAGGTTTGTGTACAGCCCAGTACCGCCAACAGCAGTCAGCAAGAGAGGTGCTGCCCACAACAGATATAAACTAGGTGCCCATCCATTAGAAAGGGCAGAGGAATCTACAAGAAGAATCTTTCCCTGTATTCTTCCCTCATCTCTATTTCCAGCAGTGAGTTTAATAGGAAAACTAGCCAGTAAGTCTCAGGCTAGGAAGCTTAATGCCTGTGCAAAATAGGATTCTCCTGGGAATAGCAGAGTGCAACCTGCCATCCGTCACTCCTTCCAGGCCTACAGAGACAAGTAGGGGGGTGTTAGAATCCCCGCACTTGCCATACTGAGCCCAAGCTTTGAAGAGCTGGAGTTTGGCAGACGTAGGGCATGTTGCTGTGACTGCAGTGGAAAACGGAGACACCTGAGCTAGCATTGAACTATAAGGGTGCACCAATAAAGATTTTTTTTGGCGAATACAAATGGCTGATTATTAATCAGCCATATCGGCTGATTCTGATCTGATATGCAGCCCAGCCAGCTGAAGAGCAGCGTCCAGCCAATAAGTCTGTGGGAGGGAAGGGGTGGAGGGTAGGGTAGGGGCATATTAAGGCCCCCTCAGGAAGGGAGGAAGTGGGGCTGGGGCAGGAGCATGTGCTGCCGGGGCAGGGCAGTGAATGTGCCCCCACCGGTAGTGGAGCAGAATTGTGGGCAGCTTGTCCGAGGAGCATGGCAGGGAGGGGGTTCGCCCCCAGGGGAGGCTGTGCTCACCCCTGGGGGAGGCATGGGAGGCATGTGGCCCCTCTGGATTTGTGCGTGGAGTGAGGACAAGCTGCCCACTGCTGGCTTGGAGTCAGGGGCTGCACTGGCTTCTTCCCAGTGTTGGGGGCTGGGCCAGGGCTGTGCTTGGGGGGAGGCAGGTAGCACTGGCACTGGGAGGGGTGATTAAGGGGTAGGCTGTAGCCTCCCAAAAATTCCCCATAGCCCCACCCCATAGCCTCCCCTCCCAGCACCACCACTGCCTGCCCTGCCCCTGCACACCCAGTGCAGACCTAGCCCAGCCCCCCCACCAGGAAGAGGTTGGCGCAGCCCCGGGCCCCCAGCCTACAGTGGGCAGCCCTTCCTCACCCTGTGCACAAATCTGGGGGACACATGCCCTATGTGCCTCCTTTGGCGGCATGTGCAACAGTGGGGAGATGCCACCCTCCCTGCCCCCCTGCATCCAACAGACGAGCTGCCCACGGCTCTGCTCCACTCCCAGTGGGGGGTGCATTCACTGCCCTGGCTGGGCAGCACCTGCCCCTGCCCCTGCCCCAGCCGCACTCCCTCCCTCACCATGGGGGCCTGGGTCTGCCCCTTCTGCCCTACAGACTTACTGGCCAGACACTACTCTCAAAGCTGCCTGGCTGCATTCCTGGCTGTGTGCATGTTGCATCTGTGTGCATGCACACACATTTATTGTTGACATTATTGGCTACACTGACCAAAAAAAGCCAATTGCTGATAATGTTAATTTTCCTTTTCTCAGTGATGATCCAATATGGACTGATATATGGGTGCACCCCTACTGAACTAGCTAGCTTGGGGACTGTTAACAGTCTGGTCATGGTAGCATGACGCTCCAGTGAGCTGCAAAACTTGTTTCAAAAGCACCTTCAGTTAGCCTGTACTAAGCTCCAATCTGTCCCAGCTACAGTGGTAGTTTACTACTATTTCTGGTATCTCTGTACCACATTGTTGTCACTGCTGTGATTGCAATATAGATGTACCTTGCAAGGAAATTTCACTGAAGCAGCCTGCTGGAACACAGTCCCTTCTGCAAACATGGGGCTGGGGCTAACTGGAATTTGACAGACCTTCACTGCTCTCCAGACCCACTCAGTGCTACTCAGGCTGCAGCTTCTTTATACCAACACAGGCCTCCTGCCTGTTTAGGATTTGATGAAGTAAGCTGCTGTTTATGAAAACTTATGCATCTCTTACTTAGTCTGTAAGGTTCAAATCTACCTTACCTTCTGCACTTTTCCTTAGCCCACCTCAGACATGAATGGTAAGGAGTTCTGAGGAACCGTCATCCCACAGGCAGTGGACCACAACTGCATGGGAACCCTTCAGGAGTTGGCTTTAAAAGGCAGCCTAACACCATTGCACAATGTAGAGCAACTGCTCTCTCCTACTCCTTCAGTGGCTCAGATAGAGTTGCTCCCAGCAGATCTTGTTCTCAAAGGGACAACCCTCTGCAGCCTCCCTGTTGGCTGGAGACTTCCTGGCCTTAGCTGTGAAGTATTAAAATACTCTACCCAAAAAACAGACAGCACGTACCTCTTTCTCTTCCTGATGTACAGAACCTAGAGGAAAAAAAGAAATGCCATTATGACAATTCTGTGAGTGTCACGGCTTAGACCTCTGGGCTTATGAATAGGACATGTCTAGTCCAGAAAAGGAAGAGCCCAACAGACATCTGGAAGGGACTGCTGGGAAAAGCTGAGAATCTGAGGATAACAGGGCGCATCTACATGAGACATATTACTGCACAGTAAGCTTCCACATCTACATGTGCAGGTGTTTACTGCACAGTAATTGGCTCTAATCATGAGTAAATTTGCTACCTGCAAATGCAAGTAGCAAATTTATTCATGATTAGTAATGCACAGTAGCGCATGTATAGATCCCTGACTGGGATCAAATGTGCTCCTAGTCAGCTGAACAGCAGGGGTTGGAGATTGCTCCCTGTCCCTGGGAGCTGCCTACAGCCAGGGCAGGGGGTCAATGTCGCCCTGCCCTGGCAGCAGGGAGCTCCCAGTCCCCGCTCCAAAATCATGGGGCTAGAGCTGGGAGATTCTTAGTTAGCGCTGGGAAAGAAGGATCTCCCAGCCTGGGCCCCAGGACTGTGGAGATCAGGCTGGGAGATAAGGATCTCCCCAGCCCCTGCTTCCCAGCCCTTGCTCCCTGCTGCCAGGTCAGGGGGATGTTGTCCCTGGCAGCTCCGGTGGCGAAGCCCGCCCCGGCAATAGGCAGCCCCCACCAGGAGACAGCTGTCTTCTGGCCCTGTGCTCCCTGTGAGCCCCTGAGCTAGCACCCAGAGGGAGCCTAGAGCACCTCTTGGCTGCTGCAGGGGGCCGGTTCAGGGCCAGCAGGGGCAGAAGCAAATGGCTGCCATGAACAGCAAATCTGCCCCCAAAAACCCTGCATGTGTACTCTAGAGTAAACTGATCCTGGATTATTTTCATGTGTAGATGCTCCCACAGAGAGGGAAGTACCAATATCTGTAGTCACTGTACACCAAAAGGGGTAGGCTGCAACCTGGTTTTTTTGTATATCAATGTAAATCCTGTGACTTATTGAACCACATGGAAGGTTAGCTGTTTACATAGCATAGATTAGTATCTCTGTTGGTTACTGGACAGCAATGACTATTTAGACCACCTGAGGACCTGGCCCTTCATGTTTTACATTCTTATTTTACCACAGAGGGTATCTGTTGTTATCTGCTGCTGATTAGAGGAATACGCAGCAAAGAGATGGGAATCTGTGATCTGTCTCTCAGTAGGTGAGTTGCTGAACTGGAAGGGGAACCCAACACTTCTGATTCCCCCTGTTTTGAATATTACATGTGCTGAGTAAAATTGTCGAGAAGGCCTAAGTGATGGGAGTCTTGTGGAAATTCTGATGGACACAAACTTCAACATCTCATGGATGGGGTTGAAAATTGTACTCATAGCCTGCAATAAAACTCTGCAGCACCTGGTTCTACTGATTAAATTGTTGGCAGTTTTAAGAGAAATTGGCCTTCAAATAAAGAATTGATTCTTCTTGTTCCCTTCCACTTTCTGCCTAACAGGTGAATGAGCTTATTATCTAACCAGAGAAATGTAGAGCTTGCAGTGTCCTCTCCGTGAATGACGCAGACACACAGCTAGGAGAGAAAAAACATTTAGAAAGCTACTTCCTACAGCAGAGATGAAAATGCTGATTATATGGAGCTGTTCCTGGAACTTCAGGAGCTCATTAAATATCCTACAAGCAGTATTTAAAATTTCAGTGCTTACATAATGAATCTCTGTATGTCATCTCAAGCACTGACACATGGGTATGTCCAACAACATAGGCTCTTCCAACTCCACCTAAGAACTTAGCCATATAGGGATGCTCAAGGAAGTGAACGCAAATGAATAAAAGTACAAATTAAAGTAGATTAATTAAATCCACATTATACCTCCATGTGGACAGTCTTATTCAGAATTAAGGTGGTCTCGGTTCATATGAGTTTAAATCACTTCCAAAGTAAATTCAGCTAAACTGAATTATGGTCACTTTTAATTCATAATGGGCATTTTCTGACATGTTCTGATTAGAACTGAGTCTGCTGGAGTCAATTAACTGAGTTTCCTGGAACGTTCTAATCCAGTGGGCGGCAGGGTCTCATGTGTTCAGCATCCTGCATTTCAAAACCCCAGCGGGGCACTTTAATTAAAACTTGTCGAATGAGGTTTAGTTAAAGTGCCCCTGCTACCATTTTGAAATGCAGAATGGTGAATACATGAGATGCTGCAAGCATTCTAATTAGAGGAGCTCCTGAGAGCAAATTAATTGAAGCAAACTCAATTAATCGTGTCTCTGGAGTGTGCTAATTAGCATGCTCCAGCAGCCTTGGTGTCACGTATTCAGTGTCCTCATGCTTCAAAATGATGGTGGGGCACTTTAACTAAAATTTGTTGAACGAGCTTCAGTTAAAGTGCTCTTGCACCATTTTGAAGCATGGGACACTGAATACATAAGATGCTGCAGGCATAGGCGCTGACTTTTTTTTTTTGCCAGGGGGGACCTAAGATGATGTCTCCCCCTGCCCCACTTAGCAGCATGGCTGAAGCAGAGCCCATACTGGTGGGGGTGGATGCAGGCTGTCTGCTGCAGGTTTAGGGCTCTCTGCCTTGTTGCCCTCTTCCTGGGAGCCCTGCACTGGCCACACTGCCATAACAAGGTACCCCCTGCTCCCCAGCAGCAGCGGGGGGCACAACTCCATGCGGCCACTCCTGCTGCTGCCAGGCAGGTAGGGGGCACCTCGCCATGGTAGTGTGGTTGGCGCAGAGGTCATAGGGGGAGGGCAAAAGGCCAGGGGGCCCTGAGGCAACAGAAGGCAGCCTGCATCCACCCCCGCCTTGTGCACAAATCTGGGGAATATGTGCCCTCCCATTCCCCCTTCCCGGGAGTGCAAACAGCAGCAGGGAGCCAGCCCTTTCCCACCTCATGGACCTGTGGCTTTGTCCAAATCCCCACCTCAGGCCCGGGCCCCATGTACTGCCTTAGCTGGGCAGCGCCCCCCAGGCGCAGCCCCTGCCCTGATCCCTCTCTCACTATGGCGACCTTAATCTGTTCCCCCCATAGACTTACCTGGAGGCAGCTAGGGGAGCTACTCTCCACTGCTGCCTGGGGCTGTATTCCTGGCCACATGCATGTGTGCATGTGCACACATGCACATGGTGCTTCCTGCATCCCGCTCCCGGCACCCCTTGTAGGCTGGAACTCTGCCAGCCTGCGAGGGGAAACCTGCTGTTTCCTGTGTTTTTCCATGGTGAACACAAAAACTGGATCCCTTCACGACACCGCGAATCCTAGACTAATGCTGTCCGGGAGTCACGCAGGACTGGGATTTGATGTTCCCATTTCAGGACCATCCTGCCAAATTAGGGACAGGTGGTCACCCCACCCTCTTCCCGATGGGGGCCAGGGCCCTCAGGTTCCCACATACTCAGCGCCTATGGCTGTGGGCACTTTAATTAGAGTGGCTTCCAAGAACCACTCTAATTAAAGCATTCCCCTTCATCCTGGAGCATGTGTAAAGACATCCTTAGAGACTAACTGGTTAGGTGACGTTTGAGTTTTCATAGCAACAACCTACTTCCTCAGATGCTACTAAAACTATGAAAAGCTCAAGCTTCTCTGAACCAGTTAGTCTCTAAAGTGCTGCGCTGCTCTACCCCTTGCCCAATTCTAAATGAGTGTCCGTGTCGAACTTTAACATGGTTTAACTAATCCACTTCAAAAATTATTTCAGATTAACCTTCCCAAGGGTTCCCATGTAGATAGGCCCACTCAAAGAAGTTACTCCAGATTTACAATTGAGAGCAGACTACTTCATTACCTTTTACATAAACTCCCCAACACTATGAAAATAAAGTGCTAATACTCCTTATGGGAATTGGTTCTTGGCATCCCCTCGCCTAGCCAAGCACTCTGCCTAGAACCAAACCAGGATGATCCTAGCACTACTGAGCAGTTTTTTAGGATTATCATTGTTCTTGGGGGCCCTTGGACTACTCCTAAGCTTGGCTCTTTCTGAGCACTGGTGACTGAAAATTGATGGACCTTTTTGTTCCCAACACTGTCGCATGATTTTTGGTGTGGCAGTTCTTTCTCAGTTTGGTCAAGTGATGTGAATCAAAACAGATGTGGATATATCAGATTCACACTCCATTTTTTTAGAGAGAGAAATAGCTAGCAGGTCTCTCTTACCATAGCTACAGCCAACCCAATCACTGTAATGATTCCAAATGACAGCAGCATTGTGCCCATGCCAGGCCCACTGCTGGCCACATCAGGGATTTTGGTGCTGTTAAAGCTGGTGGTCTCAGGGCTTATGGTAGCAGTTTCTGGTACAGTCCCATCCACAGTTGTCCCTGGATCAGGTTCAGAGGTGGTAGTGCTGCTGTGGTACAAATTATGCACTGAGGATGTGCTGTAACTCATCCTGGACAAAAGTCCCACCTCCTCTTGCACTGAACTGTTGTCTCCACCTACTTAAGACTCTTCAGTTTCAGTTAAAAAGCATAGTGTCTCCTCTACTATCAAGGAAACTCATGTGAAAGTTACTCTGTAGCATTTTCTGTGATGGACCTCCTTCAGGGAAAACTTCCTGGCTTCTTCCTGTGCAGAAGAGACACAGACAAAACTTTATTGATATACAGATGTTCTGTGAAAGTCACAGAGATAGTCGTGGCCATTAAATCTTCCAAAGGAGACATTCATTTGAAAAACAATGTTTAGAGTCTTTCAGGATACCCAAATTAAGATAAGGGCCAATTTTTCAAAGGTACTGGGCACGTCTACGTGAGATGCTTTACTGTGCAGGAGACTACTTTGCTGTGTAGTAAAGCATCACCATCTACACATGTGGCAATTAAGGCACAGTAGACTAATTTACTGTGCTGCTGGATAGTCCATCAGATATAAGTGGTATCCGGCATCACAGTAAATTATTGCACTTAAATGCATATGTAGATAGTGATGTTCGGATTAGTTTACTTTGGCTTAAATTGAGCCGGAGTATATTCAGTCACATTAATTGTTATGTAGACATGCCCACTGAGCACCCTGCAATTTCAGCTCAAGTCAGGGGAAGCTGTGAGTGTTCATTTTCTCAAAATCAGTTGGTGAGAGGCCTATGGGCCTCACCCACGACTGGTAAGGAAACAGTTAATTAGGTAGCTGGCCACTGCCCAGCCAGGATGCAAGCCTTGCTAGGGCTACAGATAAAAGGAGGCCAATGACACCGTCTGGCGGTTATTGGGCTGGGAACCAATTGGCTAGAAGATCGGCTGTCTGAAGGGATAAGGTGAAGGCAGCTGGGGTAAGACCAGGTAACTGATGAACTAGGAACTAGAGACTGACAATCCTCAAGTGAACTAAGATCAGCCAGGAAGAAGCCTCGGAGGCCACAAGCTGAGACTCCGATGTGTGTCAGGCTCCTCTACACGTACCCGTTTGTGGAGTTTCCTGCTATGCCTGACTTGAAGCTGGATTGGGGAGACGAGAGGAGGAAGTGTGGTGAGAAGTGAACACCTGACAGGGAGTCTCAAGAGGAGCTCCCAAAAGGCATCTAAAGTCAACCTATAACTGACTTCTGTTGCTTTGTACCTTCTCAAACTCTTGCTGTCTTAGTTTTCCTGTTGCTGTTCCAGCTCTGCCTGGTTGTGGGCACTTAGCAGAGCTGCCTGGCTGCCGATTCCTGATATACAGCCTGTATTGCAAATGAATATATCTATTTGATCTGGTTCCAAGAGGAGCAGGGCTGCCTTCACCAGTATGAACGGTATGTTCCTAAGTCTCCTGCTTTGTTTCCTCTGTCTTTCCTACTGAGACAAGTACAAAGATGGAATGAAACGTATTGGAGGGAAAGGGTAAAATAACAGATGTGAAGCACACCAGCTTGAGGCTGTGTCCTAGCAAGGCAAAACCATTCTTTGTCCAGCTCTGACAGAGTCCTTCACAAGATGCTGTACTTATTCCCCCCATCACTGTTTCTTAACCCTTTGCTCCAGGCCCTGCTGAGGCAATTTTCTTGGAGGGAGTGGGTACAATATTTTTTTCACCAAATGTTATAAAGACGCTTAATTCAGGGGATATTTGGCAAACAGAGGTACAACCCACTCAAGTGCAGTCTGTAACTGGTGGCTGCTAATCACCTGTTTCTAAAGGATTCATTCATTTGGAGAGCAACTAACAAATTCAGCAGCAAGAAATGCATCTGCGTAACCCTTTTCTAAGGCAAAGGTGTAATGATGTGGCTGGCTGCCTAGACAGCTGCCACACAGAGGCAACAGTGATACCACACCTATGGCACAACCTTGTGATAGCCACAGTTTTTTCCACTCCCTGCCCTCTTCCTCCCTGGTCCTTTCCCCTCAGTTGGCACCCAGGGCAGCTATCCCAGTTCCTTTGCCCTAGTTATGCCACTGCTTCAAGGCCAGGTTTCTTGCACCCAATTCTGAAAGTAGTCCAATGACACAAATTGACTGGGTGAAAAAGATGGTTTGGGGATGGAGATTGTCTTACTTCTCCTGTGGTGTACTGGTGGTAGGAGAAGCAGGAAACTAATTCCCTAACCTTAACAATGGAATGGATCTGAAGGGTGCTTTAAAGAGTGATAATAACATAGCTCTATAGCACTTCAATACCTAATATTTCTGTTCAAATTCTAGATGTGGATATATCTGAGGGGAGAGAATATTTTGGAGACTTTATAAGTCCTTGGAAAAGCCACTGGGCTGATTTTTTTTAAGACCTAATTTCACTAAGGCTTGTGAAATATTGAGGATCAGGTTGGCTTAAATTATATATATATATATATACACACACGCGCGTGCACACACACACACATATATATACACAGTTTATTACAAAAGACAAAAGTGTCAACATTTATATATATATATATATATATATAGCTTCACTATGCACAGAAATCATTTTCCCCAACAATGGAATGCAGCTGCTACTGCAGTTCTAGTACTGCCTTAATTCAGTTCATTTGGCAAGCTGAATCACCAGTAATGGAAGGTAGCCAGGCCATGTAAGTTGTTAAACTTCTGGGATGGAGAGGTAAAGATGGACATGAGGCTGGATCTGCAAAGGAGATCCAGTTTCTTCTTCCTATCCAGTCCCTGTTGCTGTGGGGTTCTGAGTGCTTTCCAAAAGTGCACTATACAAAGTGATCAGCATCTGTTACAGAAGTAACAAAATTACTCAGTGCAAACAGCCATGATGTAGCATTTCCGCTCTAGTCATCCTGTTCCTAATGCCATTTGTGCTGCATCTATATAAGCTCTCTATTCTATCACAGAGGTTGCAATGCACTTTGAGCATAATTCTCAGAACAACTCCCTGAAGCAAAAGCCTCCAGATTTCTAGGGGGAAAGGAAGTGTCGGACTCCCATGTATCACTAGGAAAATGGTCTTATGTCTTGTCTTAAAAACAACACTTCTGTTGACAGTGTTCTCTTCGTATATCATGCTGGGGCACTGGTATGTTACTGAACAAATGCAGTAAGCCACAACTACCCTTGTAGGCATCCACCCAACTATGAAGCTCATCTTCATGTAGCTTGAGGACTGATGAAATAACATTCATTGTCTAGGCCCACTGAGCACATCAGTTCTAGTTATTTCCTCTCCCTCCTGCTGACCCTAACCTAGTTTATGATTGTAGTGGCAGCTCAGGAAAAAGAAGGGGAAATGATGAATGGATTTTGGAAGGATGGGGAGCTCCTTTGAGAGATTAATTTATCTGTGCTAATCAGGGAAACTTAATGACAGTAATTAAAGAAAAACCCAAACAAGGTACTAAAGAATTAAACAAAGTTCATATACTAGGGTTGCTATAAAACTTGGATCTAGATTTCATACAACTCATACTGGAAACTGTAGTTTTGGTTTGGTTCTAAAACCAGAGGCTGTTTCCAAAAGTCAGTCTGGGGCTCAGCATCATGCTTTAAACATGCATGCACACACTGTCATCACCAGAGTTCTGCGTATTTTGACTGATCTATAACTGGTGCCAACCCATTCCTAGTCAATAGTTAATTACGGGGTATATTTTCTGCTAGAGTAAATCAGCATCTCTTCTGATGTCATATTAGAATTCTTCCTTTCTGAAGCCACATTCTAGCATAGCTAGCTTAAGCTTCCCTTGATTGTCAGCCAGATAATGTATTTCAGGTTCTATGGGGGACTCAGCTTTTACAATGGTGGGGCTCTCTGTGGATGAACAGGCCTTCTCCTGAAAATGCTGAAAATGGTCCAACACTAGAGCAGCTTTGATAGCTGCTATGTGGCCAGAGCCCACAATACACTGTATGTAGCTTTAATACATTCTATTTCTGTGTACTTCATACACACAGGAGACAGAAGGACCAGCACAGGAACCAGACTTTGAGCTGCTGGTGAACTAGATTAGCTCCACTGACTACAGCAGCCGAGAATCTGGCCTCAAGACTGTCTACGTTTCAATCAACAAATGTGTTTTTATATTGTCAGGGTCTCTTTGTGCTGAGGTCTAGTAGGACTGGGAGTCAGGACAGTTTGTGCCTTTTCCCTAAGGCCTGAATTTTCAAAATATGACTGCAGTAGGAGTTGCAAGTGATCAACACCTCTGAAAAACTGTCCATTGATTCAAGTCTAAGACTCAGGCTTTTTCAACTTTAGTTTTCATGTCATGGGTATGCTTTAGTTTCCTCCCATTTATGACAAGGACAGTGGTACTTGTCTAAGTGCTTTGTGTTATCTGGATAAAAAGGGCAAGGACGTATTCGTATTTGCTGCTATATTGGTATATTTTCATTACTGCTGCTCTGGGAACTGTCACCAAAAAGAAACATGCTTTGTAAATCAACTACTTGTAACACATGGCATTTGGTCACTGTGGGGTCATGAGATGTGGGTTTTCAGTACAAGAGCTTGTGGTTTCCCCTTAAACCATCATGTCAATGGCCAGTCATTGACACGGCCTGCATGACCCACTATGGCACAACCATACACCTATATATCTGTAGGTGCCTTAATCACCATCCTTCTCTGGGGAGCGGGCAGTGGTGGACTAATGGCGGGGGGCGGGGCATGGCCCCTGGCCACCAGCCTGGGTGGGGTGCCGGCTAGGCCCTTAAGAGTTCTTATCGCACAATGTGACTTTAAGTATTGCTATGAGAAGGATTGGAGGGGGAGGGGAGAGGGTGTGTGCAAACCCTGGGTGCCGGAGACCCATGGTACATCACTGGGAGTGGGATGAAGCGTCCACTGAACTGACTTCCATCTCACCTGTAATTAGGCCATATTGGAGTCCAGCTGGTCCCAACCAGAGGATCAGGGCAGTTCATCCTGAGGCTGCAGAGAAACAGGTGCCATCTGCAACAAGCCTGGATCAGTGCCCTGGGTCCAGCCAGTCCTAGCATGGCAATCAGGGCAGTCAGTCCCCT